ATGTGATAGTTCCGTAATAACAAACTAATAAAAATCTAATCAGCCAAGGAAGTGGCCTTAATAACAAAAAAAAAAAAAAAAGATTATAGCCTCGATAAGTTCAATAATATATCAATAGCACAAATAGAAGATATCAAAGATATCAAACATAGCGAAAAAAATGAAAATAGTAGTATTCAAAACATATGAATATATGTTGCTAAAATAAACTAAACTTTGCTTTTGAGTTTATTGCAAGTATATTGACTAGCCAAACTACAAGTCTAAATCCTACCAAAACAAAATTCCAAACTTTAAAGTCATACCAAATTTCTACTCAAATATATTAAAATCGCTTAATTCCCAAAACCTAAATACTAATAGTTTCCTTGGCAATATATATATAATTAATAAATTTTAGATAAATTCACGATCTGGCAATATACAAATACTAGCTTGTAGTTAAAGATATACTTCAAATTATTTAAGATAACCAAACTATATGACAATAAGTTGTAATACCTAGTGCGATAGTAATTGTTATCCAGTCTAGACCATCTCAAATAATTTGAACTATATCTCTACTTGTAATGCATAATACTAACAAGATTTTATTAATAGATTCACTTATAATCACTTCAGAAGATATTCCTATGAGTATTCGTTTTAATATATAGGATGAAGTAAATAACTATTTTAATGAATACAAAGCTCGAAACAGCTTTGTAGTTATTAAATATCGAGTGGAACAAAACAACTTAGATCAAGTTTATAAAAGAACCTTCATTTGTAAATTCAGCGGGAAGTACAAATCTAAAAAAATTGTTGAAGCTGCTTTAAATAGAACACAAAAAAATATGAAAACAAAGAAAACAAATTGTCCATGGCATATCAACTTATCTATTCCTAAACAAGCTACACAAATCTCAGTCACAAAATATATTAATTGACATAATCATACTTTTATTCCTGAAACCTGAAATTTTGGAGTAAAATACCGAACATTGTCTAAAGAGGTACTTGATGGAATAAATATAATAACAAAGCATGCCAATTTGTCACTCACAGTGCAAAAAAGTCTTCTAAAGACACAATTTCCTGACCTGATTTTTCAAAATCAAGATTTAGCGAATGCAATTCAAAAAGCAAAAAGCACCACTAAAATTAGTAATGACGCATCAATTTTACTTACTTCTCTGATGCAAAAAAAGCTAGAGGATCTATGTTAAGTTGTTGACTTTGAACTAGATAAAGATAATTGCCTAATTTGTCTTCTTTGGATATCTCTGGGCCAGGTTGATCTTTGGCTTAGATATTATGACATTGTTATTAATGACAACATAGCTTGAACGAATCAATATCAAATACTATTGAGAATTTTCGTAGTAATTGACAACAAGTATAAAACTTGCCTCATCTGCTAAGTATTAATGAGTAATAAAACTGTTGATACACATGTTTGGATACTTGAATATATCAAAAAAGCTGTAGAAAAAGTTTCATTTGTTATGTTTACAGATAGTGATCCTGCACTTGATATTGCAATTCTTATTGTTTTTTCTGAAATATATTCAGCCTATTGTATTTTTTATATAATACAAAACTTACCTAAAAATTTAAAAGCAAAGTTGGGTGTTAATTGGGATAATTTTATCAAATGGTTTTATGAATATCATAATAGCTTGTGTGAACTACTGTTTAAAAAAAGGTAAAACAAATTTCTTAACAATTTTCTAATGGCAAAAGATTATCTTTTACATGTATTAGATCCAGGGTGTTATTTATGAGCTTAGGCTTATCTTCGCAGAATATTCATAGCAGGCGTTGAAAGCACAGCAAGAGTTAAAAGTTACAATTAGGTCATCAAGCAACAATTAAAGGCAAATAATACTTTATGCGAACTTGCTGATCAGCTTGATGCAAGATTAAAAGAAGAAGTACAATGGAGTCAGTTTCATAATTACAAACAAGCCATTACAACAAATACTATTTCTATTGCTAGACAAGATTTGTTTTTTGAAATAATAAAAGTTACTAATGAATATCTCACCAAACCTATTACCAATGCAATTAAAATAGAAATATCTCAGTACTTATTTATTAGTGCAAACAAGATAGAGCCTAGTATTGAAGAATTATATCGTAAGCAGGTAATGGTTATAATATTAAATTAAATGTCAAATTAGAATTCAAAATTAACTAATAAAGTAGTATACCTTGTATTATATAGAAAAATTATCAACTAGCATCTAATAGATTTCTCGAAGACCAATATAATGTATACCTTATTATACTCCAAACAATTGTTGATGAAGTAGAACAAGAAGAAGTATTAGAAATATAGAAAGTTATGGACATGCGAAGTAAAAAATGATGTCATGTACATTTTGTTGTCATTGCCAACGCAGTATCTTTCTTATATTCATGCCTAATATCTATTTCAAAAGGGATCATATGCTGCTATTATTTTTGTGTCATGATGTACTCAAAAATTGCAGCATTACATATTAGCATGATATCTCGAAGGTGGTATAAAGAACATCATCAAAATAGGCTAATTCTGAAAAGAGATAATGCAATATTTAGTTATAAAATAGGCATTTTTAATGATAAAGAAATCGTACTAATACGCAAATCCGCTATAATACTGACAACTGTTATCATAGTTAAAAAATCTATTTATAAAAGAAATTTGTATAGACGAGTGTAAGGACTAGCACGAGAAGCTACATTACTTGTAGTTGAACAAGATAATAACAGAATTATTGCTTACTTTCAAGCCTATATCAATCGAAGCTATAATCATTATAACATACATGAAAGATCTACAACTGAAGAAGTATTCAATAATGCTTTAGAAATTCAAACAAATGAAACTAGTAATCAATCTGATCAAGCAGAGGAATCAGAATCTGAACAAGACCAAAACATGAACAAAACTAATCTTGAAAATGTAAAAAATCTGAGTAGAGTTCTTACTAAAGGGTGACCACCCAAATGATGTTATATTAGTAGTGTTGAAAAAGAGCAAGGATACCAAGGAGGATCTAAAAGTAGAGGGTCATATAAATGTCATATTTGTAATAGTATGGGCTACAATACGGCTTTTCACAAAAATAAAAGTAATAACGATATTACAGAAAAGGGTAGAAGAGGTAGAAGTAGAGGTAGAGAACGAACAGTAACATAGTTTGTCTCTTTTAGATATTAAGCATAGATTAGTACAGCCGATAATAAATTATATAATTATATATAATGAAGGCAATACTACCCAAGATTGTTAGAGTTAGGATTATAGAATAAGCTATTACTGTATGTAGTAAAATTTCGTGCAGAGCATAAATAAAATTCGTTTCAATTGCAGATAATATACATAATATATTTTGTTTAAACAAATATTACACAATGTAACATTTTAGCATTTATATTATCTGTTAAATTATTGTCTGTATTCTACAATTAATAATTGCTAAAATATCATATTGCATAATACTTGTTAAATAATGATTTGTTGAAGTAAGCTAGATCAATAAAAAGTTATTGTTATATTTAAAAACATATTTAATATATATAATTTTACTTATCTATTTACTGTTATTATACATTTGATTTTGTACTATGTTTGTAATTAGACTGATTGGACACTCTAAGAAACTATGTATTAGAAAATTTTTGTAGGCTATTAGAGTTAGATTTAGTGTTATACTATATGTATATATTAGTAATTTATTTTCTAGTATATATACATATCAAAAAAATTATAGTTTTATATAATATGTGATATATAAGTATATCATATCTAGAAGGCTAGATCTAAATATTACGCAGAGATGCAAGATCTAGATTTATCCTATAAAATATTAATAAAAAAAAATACCTAAAATTTTGTTAAAATCTTTAAGTAAAGTTTTATTAGATGAAAATGAATCTGTTAAATTTTTATTCAAAAAAAATATAATTCAAAAACCAATATATCAAAATTGCAATATTGAAATGTCTAAGTATAGATTAAAACTTTATAAATGCAAAAACTATCAAAGATCTTTAAGCATATATAAAAATACAATTTTTGATAAAAGTAAAATTCAGAGTTCTGATATTCTATTAATAGCATATTTTTGGTTGAATAAAATTAACTATACTTCAATCAGTTATATGATGCCATATTCTAGTGCAACAATAGAAAAATATATTAATATATTTGGAGAATTAATAATTATTAGTTTACAAAAAGATGATTTTCTACTTGGTAGTAATAGAATTATAGTAGAAGTAGACGAAAGTTTATTTAATAATTTTTGGGTTGTGGGAATTATAGAAAGAACAGATTAAAAGAAATGTTATTTTGAAGTAGTAAAAGATAGAAATACTTCAACTTTAAGATGAATTATAAAAGATCATATAAGACCAAAATCTATAGTATTTACAGATTGTTGGCATGGTTATTCTTTACAAGGATTAGATATAATTCATCGACGTGTTAATCATTTAAGAGCTCAAGAAGAGACATTTGGAATTCATACTAACACTATTGAGGGTTCTTGGAATGGTTTGAAAATTTTTATATCAAAAAGAAATAGAAAAGAATATTTGATAAAAAAATATTTATTAGAATTTATATACAGATGAAAACATAATGATAATTTATGGAATGATTTTTAGATTTATTAAAATAATAATAATAGTATTGTTATAAAATGAGTTTTATCTATTTTAGTATTATTTTATTATTTATTATTAGTATTTTATATAGTTAAATTCGTAGATGTTATAGTTCTCATGGAAATGGCAATTGTAAGTACAGCGTATTAATTCATAATCAGCAAGTAATGGAAAGGATTTATTATAATTTGGTACCAGATCAAAATTTAAATAAGTGGTTCATTTAGAGTAAGAATGTTAAACCGTTTTACCAGATAAAAAAAATAAAATATAAGACAATATACAGTATTAAACTATCAGAGTTTGTTACATGATAATCTTGGAGTTTGGATCTCAGAAAAAGGAAAGCACTTTTATAGCTTAAACATAAAATTCAAACTGCTTAATTTTCCTAAGAATATGTTACCTGAATTATATTCTTTAATCTGACATACATTTTTTTTTTTAAGAAAGTTGATTTATGTTATGAAACAAAAAAAATTATTTTCTGTGGATTTGATGTAATCTAAATAATACCCAAAAAATTATACATATTACGGATTATTTTTATATTAAATATCCTCACATATACGTATACAGAATGCAATATTACTTCATACTGTATTTAGCAATTAACTAATTTTTATAATATATTATCTTAATAATAATATAATTATAGACCTTCCAAAGATTCCTTTGTTTACTCAAATTTTACAACATACTAAAATATTATCAGAACAAAAACCTGCAATAATTGATGTCAAAGCTGAAACATCTCATTCTTATCGTAAACTAGTTTCAGATATTATTGAATTAAGAAAAAGATTATTAAAAAATGCAGAAACTTCTATTGAGGATTTAAAAGAGGCACGTGTTGCTTTTTTATGCCCAAATGGATATGACTATGTTGTATCTCAATGGTCGATTTGGTCTGCTGGTGGAATTGCAGTTCCTTTATGTAATTAATATCCCAAGAAATTACTTTTTTATTATTTTCATTAAACAACTATTAATATTTATATTCATATTAATAAAGGTACTACACATCCGCTACCTGAACTTTTATATGTACTGAATGATTCTCAATCAACAATATTAATAACACATTCAGATTTTCAAGAAAAAGTAAATAGTATTGCTCGTGAAGCTGGTATTAAAAAGGTTATCACGGTTTGTGACAAGGACCAAAAATATGACGGTGCAAACTTTAAGGTGAATTTTTTTTTTCATATGATAGATATTAATTAACTTCTTTAATTTTATTTATTAAATTTTTATTCTTAATATTTTATAGCCTCCATCATTGATTCCAATGGATGATTCACGTCGTGCAATGATTATTTATACCAGTGGAACGACTGGTAAAAAAAAAAATAAAAAATTTTAATTTTAAATTTACTCAGGGAATTCTTTTTTAAACTATTTCTATTCTAGGAAAACCAAAAGGAGTAGTAACAACTCATGCGAACATAACTGCTCAAGTTAAATCTCTCGTTGACGCATGGAGATGGAACGAAAAAGATAAAATTTAAACATGTTGCCTCTTTCAATTGCCTTACCATCTAAATCCTCTTTGTTAAATCCTTTTTGGACACCTGTAACTATCTAAAGCTGTAAAATATTATAATCTTTATACTATAATTAGCTGTCACTAGAAATCCTTAAAGAGATAGATCCTATGAGTGACAATAGATAGCTATTATAGTTTTCTCACTCTTCACAACTCTAAAACAAGAGAATTATTACAAAAAATACAAGCTCTAATAATTAAAGAAATTTCTATAGTTTCATCAGATTTATTTTCTTTTATAAGTAACTTACTTGGATCAATACACCAAAATTCTAATATATTTGGTGGTATACCTACTCTCGTCATCAAAAATCTTACTCAATTACCTCTAATTAATAGACTTCTCATATTCAACTCTTCTGTATGTAAATGATTTTTTCCTGTCTTCTTATATAAACTCCAAAGACAAAAAAATGATCTTATCTTCTACAACATACTCCAAGAATTACACTTCAGTCACCTATCAAGTATATCCAAAGAATTAATACAAAACAAAATTAACCAATTAAGCATAACTCAAAACTTAATAAACTCAACCTACCTAGTAGGCTTACGTCAAACCTCTGAATCTATTAATAACTTCCTATGTAAAAATCTTCTATTAGATGGCAAAAGTTCTAGACTATTAATTTCCTACTCTACAGACACATTAAACTATATCACACTTAACTCTAATCAACAAAATGTTTTCCATTTTAACTGTCATACCAACTTACCTAAAAAAATAACTCTACAAGAAGGTGCTAAAGTCATGTACCTAAATAATAAGTTATTTGACTATAACATTTGTAACGGAACTATTGGCATCATTACTAAGATAATCGACACCAATAACATACAAGTCACCTTCCCAACAACCTCGAGCCTTACAAACATAATTATTTAAAAAAAAACCACCTATTTCGCTATTAATAAAAATCCAGCTTCAAGACGTCAATTTCTAATCCAAAATGCATTCGCCCTCACAATACATAAAACTCAAGGTCTCATATTACCATACACCACAGTAAGTATTGATCAAGGAATATTTGCTCCTGGTCAAGCCTATATCGCTATGAGCAGAGCAACTTTTTGGGACACCCTCGAAATTCTTTCATTTGATTGTTCCTTTATTAAAACTGATCATAGCATAATAACTGAATACGCAAGACTTTCAGAAATAAACAAAAGAGGATTAACAGTGATACTCTCCAATAACCAACAACAACATATTAACACACAATAACATATCTCTCCTATTTATACTCACCACTTCATATTCTATTATTCAGTCATCCGTTTCGACTTATACACTCATAACTGTTGTCACAACCCACTTTCCAATACATTACATCAGAGATAACAAAATCTATAAGACCAAGACTCTAAACTTAGTCTTAGGACCTAATTTTAAAAACTAGGTCCTAATTTTAAACCTGGTTCATATATCACAAACGGCCCTAATATAAGTAATTTCTTAACTATATATACCATATATACTACATTAATATACAGTATATATATGTAGAATTATTCATTATATATATAATAAATTCTTCAATTTTAAAAATTCTTTATATTAGTATTAAAATCAAATTATTTAAATGTACTGCATATTTTAGTTAATAATAATAATAATAATAATAATAATAATTATTATTATTATTATTATTATTATTATTATTATTCATTTATTATTATTATTAATTATTTTATTATTATTTTTATTTTATTTTATTAAATTAGAGATAAATTCACTATAATTCATAAACAAAATCTAAATTTAAAACTTAATATTTAACTAAATTTAATTAGGTATTAATTTTAGAACTTATTATATAAGAACTTTGTCCGAAGCTCCAAATAAAAAGACTTGCAAGTCTCAAGACCAAGACTAGACCAAAACAAGCTTTACCATCACAACTTTCCACACCCTGTTTGACGCTACTACTATTAATACTTTTTTTTTTTTTCTCGTAATCTCTTACTAACAACTTATCTGATACTTTACATTTATCATCAAAATCGTTTAACTTCGATTAATCCAATAACTTAATCTCACACTCGATACAATAAAAACCTACTAGATACATTATCCCTCTAACTATCAGATATATCGTAAACTATACCCTCTTTTTTCTACGCTTACCCGTTTATAAAACCTCATCTCACACTTATCACATCAATACCTTCTTTTTCCATCCCATTCCTTATAAAACTTACCTTATCCTTTTAAAAACATTCCCTAACTTTTACTCATTATATACCATGTAACTCATACAAAAGGGTCTCCAAATTTTCGGATCAAAATACATCGGAGTGCATCGAAATTATGATCAGCTGGATAGGAATTGCCCGAGATCATTAAAAATTTAATCAATAAAATCATATACATTCATTAAGTAAAAAATGCCCAGATGATAATTCTGCTATAAAACCTGCTAACCAATTAGGGCTAAACGCATTGTGAAAGGTTTCCGGACCCTCCGAGCTACCCACCACCTATTATTTTTATTTTTTTATTATTTTATATTATCATTAGTATTATAAATTATATAGTTATTTCTTATTCGATTTGTACTTATAAAATTCTTGATAAGAACCTGTCATAAATCTGTCGATCGTAATCTAGTATTTCCCTAAAGGAAAATCTTGTCCCTTATTTGGTTACGATGGAACCATTTATCTAATTTATGGTATATTTAATAAATTAAATATACGACAAAAGGAATATCTGATAAATTAGATAAATGAGATATACAGCAAAAGGAATATAGGATAAAATAGATAAATTAGATATATTCCAAATGTATTTACTAATATCGCAGAAAGTATAAAAGCGATACCTTTTTCCCTTAAAATAAAATAACTTTGGCAGAGTTCAAATAAGACTTGATTAAGTTGTGTTTGAAAAACCAATACTTCGAAATTCGAGTAGAAGTTTGGTCTGATAAGTTCTCATTGTTAAAGTTACAATTATTACTAAACCCAGTACTCTGATAATCAATTCCCGCATAAATTAAACAATAAACAATCATCACATAAATAGTTTTATTGACAAACTTAGATCCCATTGTTAAAACGCCGCTCAATCATAAAAGAAGACCAGATCACGTGCCACGTGATAAGAAATCGTCTTTATAAGAAAAGCCCTAACCGAAACATAAAACAACCATAACCAAAAGGACAAGAACGAGACAACACTGACCTCTAAGAAATCCACCTTGCAATCCTAAAACCCGGACCAAATCCTCCACGATTTCTTTCAGCCTGCCAACTTAGGGTTGATTGTTGGATTTGTAGTGTTTGTTTGTTGATTTGTTAGACTACGTACCTAGGTGTGACCAGATCTTCCGGTCGAGTTCCGTTCCAGAACCGGTTCACACCTTTTCAGCATACAAGAACCAACACATCCGACCCGAAAATTTGAAACCCTCCCGTAAGAATTATACCATTATACTATCCGTTACCCCAACTCCTAAGCAAATTACTCAAATCTCACCCCTGCTATATCTACTAAATTATGTTACAATTCAAATACACAACTTATGTCGTATTACATACAATATTAACTATACTATACGTATTTAACTCGAT